GCTACCAAATTTTGCCATACTGAACTGTAAATACAAGAGATTGCAAGGTTGATGATAATATTTGTCTATACACAATACCAGATAAAAACTAGCTTTGTTAACAGGTGGGTCAGGCAATACCTTTTCAGACACAGCAATTTTATCATCCATAAATACTTCTGTATGAGAATTTGCATCATCATGTAAACTTTCCTATGTTTATATTAGAATATATAAATAGTGCAAACTTTGGGCATAGTTACAGTGCTGGTTTTAGTAATTACGTACACAAACTCTGCTATCTTAAATACTCATAGCAGCGTAACTGTGGTAGTTGGAGAGTCAGAGCTGAGACCTATGAACAGTCCAATGATTAGCTCAGCTTCTCAGATGTGTTTTGCCACTCTTATTGAGGTCCATGCTGCATACCAGTGATCCTGGTAGCTCCCAAAACAAACTACTCTTAATATTTTCTTTTTTTTTTTTCCCAAGAAATTATGAAAGCATCCCACCCAGTTTCCATGCTCCAACTTCCAGAGCAGCTGAAAAGTACCCTCCATCAGAGGTACTGCTCCTGCTATTTCAAGGTCTTAAATTCTATTCTTAAATTTTATGCTAGCTCATTTTCTGTGAATCCCATTTATTTCTGCTGTGCTCTTTTTTCATGCAAATCTGTACGTTAGTTTCCAAAGACCTCCTAATAGAAAACTTGTTTAAAACTTTTTGCTACTAAAGGATTCAAGCAGGACAAAGGATCCCTTTCACAGAAATGCACTTTTGTGCACAACCACAGACCGATTCAGTAGGAGTCTCTTGCATTTAGCAGGAATATTATTCTAGAAAATATAGGGAGTTTCTGGGGTTTTTTTACAAAATATACGTCTCATTTTTCCACTTGTATTTTCTGCTATTTTCTCTACCAGCGTCTACAAGTTCACACTTCTCCAAAGGTACCTACTAAGGAGTAAAAGACAGAGGAATTCGTTTCTGTGTGCATATGTGGCCAATATGACTATCATGACTAAGAAAGATTTCACTAGGTCCTTGGTCCAAAATGGATCTTTTCTGTCAAGATCATTAGGGCTATAACAACTATCACATTGATGACATTCCAGGTGCTAAATAATCAAATTCTGACTGTTCTGGACTTTTTGTCCACTGAGGAGCAAGCATCTTTGGCCAGAGGGAATATTTTTTCTCCTTTACAATTTGTTTGCTGCAACAGAATGACTGCAGTTTAAATGCCCACCTATGAGAGGATACTGTATTTTGATTCATTTAAATAACCTAACAAATAAAAGCTAAAGCGGAGTTTAGAGTGGAAGCAGTAACAGTTAAACAACCATAAGGTTTTCAGACATAAAGCAGAATTATTTCTAAGTTTTTTAAGCTTCTAATGAGCTATATTACAGTACTAAAGGAAGAAAAGTGCAATCATCCTCTGCAGTGCAGGGCTAGATATTTGTTGTCAGTTAAATTGACTTGTTAAATGTGGTAGGATAAATGGACCTTTCTATAGTGCAATCAGAATCACTAATTC